AATACATTATTTTCCACAATAAGGAGCTCATGGCTCGACCCTAATGTACACAAAATCTTAACAAAAATATCCGGGACTGAACAACTCAACAAAATTATATTTTACATAAATTCAAGGTGGCAATCACACCAAATCATCATATAAAACCAATTTCAACAAACAAGGATCTAGGTATGACAAATAGAGGATTTAATAAGTGCCAATAATTTCCAACTTAATACATAAGGGCGTATAAGGATTTTAATCAATGAAATTTGCACATATAAACCAAGTACATACTCGCCACCTCGCGTACATGGTTTTTAATTACACAATTTGCACATAATACTCATTCCTAAGGGGTATTTTCCCCACTCGAGGTTAAGCAAGACACTTACCTCAAACTGCGCTCAATCAGTCAAGTAGTATGCCCTTTCCTTGATTTTCTGACTCCAATCGGCTCGAATCTAATCATAATTAATTAGATTCAATCAATACAAATTGTAGGAATAAATTTCATATGAAAATATAAATTTTCTACTTGAACGCTCATTCCGATACGAGTTCAACCATACCAATTTTATCCAATTCCGATAACAACTCGACCTCCAAATCTTAAATTTAAACCAAGAGAATTTTCTAAATTTTTCAACCCATTTCACTAATTTTGTGATAAAAACAACAATAGATTCATGTAATTTAACCAAAATCAAGTTAGGAATTCTTACCCCAAAGTTTTCCTTGAAAAACTCTCGAAACATCGCCTCACCCGAGCTTCCTTGGTCCAAAAATGGAAGAATGACACGAATTTGGAGTTTATTCTGCTGCCCAAGAGTTTGTTCTTCGCGTTCACGAGACTCCCCTCATGTTCACGATGAACAAATTCTTCAAAAGTCATTTTCAAACTCTTCTGAGACAGCCTCTAGTATAATGGTCATAACTTTTTATAAAAAACTCCAAATGATGAATGGTTTGACTTTCTGCAAACTAGACTTCAAGGACTATAACTATAATTTGTTGCTCATCTCCCAATTCCTTATAGATTACGAGATATATGCTTCCAAAGTCAGCCCTGTTTAACAGCGATTTCCAAACTCTTCTCGGACAGCCTATAGTGTATCTACCATAACCTTTTATGCACAAATCCAAATTCCAAATGGTTTACTTTTATGAAAACTAGATACAAAGGACTACAACTTTTATTTTTAGATCATCTCCAAATTCCTTATAGATTGCGAGATATGAGCCTCTAAAGTCAGACGACGAACAACAAAATTTTCTTCTTCGCGAACGCGAGAACCTCTTCGCGAGCGCGAAGAACAAAGTCCCAACAGCAAAATCCTTCTTTGTGAAAGCGAGAGGCTCCTCGCGAACGCAAATAACAATACCAGAACCAGCAACCAGCAATATCAACACACCCAAACTTGGTCCGGAACCACCCTGAATCAAACCCGAGGCCCCCGGGACCCCATCCAATCGTACCAACCAGTACCAATACATAACACGAACCTTCTCGAGGCGTCAAATCACATCAAACAACATCAAAGCTACGAATCATACCCCAATTCAAGCCAAATGAACTTTAAAATTTCAAATTCTATATCTTGTGCTGAAATACATCAAATTAATCTGGAATGACTTCAAATTTTGCACACAAGTCATAATTGACATAACGAAGCTATTCCAATTTCCAGAATCGAATTCCGGCCCCGATATCAAAAAGTCAACCCCCGGTCAAACTTCTCAAAAATTCATCTTTCGCCATTTCAAGCCAAATTTCTCTACAGATCTCAAAATAAATTTCCGGATACGCTCCTAAGTCCATAATCACCATACGGAGCTATTGACATCATCAAAATTCCATTCCGGAGTCGTCTTCACACAGTTCCGACTACGGTAAAAATCCAAAGATTTAAGCTTCCGTTTTGGGGACCAAGTGTCCCAAATCACTCCAAATCATCCGGTAACTGAATTCAACCACGCACGCAAGTCAATACACATAATAAGAAGCTGCTCAGGGCCTTATGCCACTAGACGAGGCTTAAATTCTTAAAACAACAAGTCGGGTCATTATACGAGGTCTCCCAAGATGAAGGTGACGTCCCAAAAAATTTACTTGGGGTGATAGATGTTGGAGATTCTCCCTCGTTTCCTTCTTTCACTGAGTCGATGATCAAGGATGCTCAGGCGATGGAAACTAGCCACGGTGAAGGAGTCCATGGAGCGGAAGACCCTTTCTGTAGCTATTTTGTTGGGGTGGAGGATGTCTCCGGTATAGGTGAGTTGGAGGTGCCGAGGAAGAGTTCGGGATCGAGTGCAACTTCTTCGAGCCCTAAGTTGATCGATGAATTCCCAGACCCAAGCATAGACCCTGACCAAAAGCGATCGGTCGTCATTTCGATTCCAGAGGATGCTCGAATGTTTCAAACCCGTAGGTCCAACAAAAGCTTGATGTGATCGGGCAACTCCGTGAAGAAGTAGATGGAGTAAAAATTGAGGCTGAAGAATGGAAGAAGAACATGGATTGCTTTGCTTCAGAAAAGGAGACTGCCCGGGTCAGTTGGCCTCGGCTGAAACCCAGCTCTGAAGTATGAAAGAGAAAACCTTGGTGCATGCCAAGAAAATTGAGGAGCTCCAGCCCTAGTTGGATTCAACAGTTTCTGTTTAGGAGAACCTGGTTACGGAGCTTGAAGCGGCCAAATCGGAGGTTAAGGAAACCAAGGCTGATATTCATGCAGTGGTGGCTATTTACCGGGCTAATGCCGAAGCCTCTCAGAATCGAGCAAAGGAGGTTGCCGAGGCCGCTCAGGTTTGAGCAAAGAGGGTCGACGAGCATGCCAAATATCAATCTCGAAGGGAGACACTTGAAAAAATTCATGCTCGGGGCTTTGACCTTACAATCGAGATCGAGAACGCTAAGGAGCTCGAAGTTGAAGCTAGGAAATTAGCTTATCCCGATGATGATGGTGAATCTGAAAGCTTAAGTAGATTTGAGAGTGAGAAGACCCCGAGGGCGAAGATGCCACTCCCGGAGATGATCAGGCCACTTAGGTTTTCAAATAGTTTGTGTATTTCTGTTGAGTTCGCTTCGGCCTTTTGTAAAGAACTTCCATTGGCCTTTATTGCATTTCTGGGTTAAGGCATTATCGGGGTTCGAAGTTACCGAAGTTTTCTCCCGAAAATATCTTAAGTTTGAGATTCTGCCGAGGGTAGCCTTTAGAACCTGTTAGTGAAAGAATTTTTTCTTTCTCAAAGGCCTATTTTGTTACGGATTTCGGACGTCTCCGAACCGTGTTAAATTGGTCGTAGCCTTTTAGCTCTAGTGTAGCCCAGTATGCTTGCTTAACATAACAGTCCCCGAGTGGGTATGGTCGTGGCCTTTAAAATTTGGGGGTTGCCTGATAGGTCTTACATCCTTGATATTTTGATAACTCGATCTATTTCGAAGTTAGTTTTTGGACGACAGTCCCCGAGTGAGGGGTGACCATTCGAACTTTGATTTTAATCGGCCCTTGAGTCCATTTTCTTAAAAAATCAAAAGTGCGGGATTGTAAAGTGGAAATATTTCCAAGATATAAGATAGTTGCATGGAAAGTAGTTCTATTTATTCTTGTCAAAAATAGTCATATATGAGTACATGTTTTATGTCATAGCTCGAGCAATCTACATGGTCACAGTTTTTTTTGACCATTTGGCCCTTATAGTACATCCTACCTATCGAGACCCTTCCATTTCAAAATAATTTCCTTGCTAGAACAATTTGATATCCGAGGGTAATCCCCCCAATATTCGAGGTTGACTATAGAGAAATCTCGGATACTGTAAACATAGTTTTTGATACCGATTCGTAATCGTCCTTTGATTCTAAGTTAGCACGATTCATGGTTGCCTCGTTAAAAACCTCTCCGAAAAACCCATTTGGGACAAAACCGGTCTAAGGATAAAAGAGTACAACACGTACTTTCAGACCTAAAGACTTCATGTCAAAAAATCCATCGTTGTTTCTTGTTGACCACATGCAAGTGTTAGTTTAAAAACAAAAGGAAATAGAAAAGGGTCGTACCTTAGCAGTAATATCGTTTTAGGTGTGATACGTTCCAATTGCTTGGTAGTTTTTCCCCATTCATTGTTTCGAGCTTGTAGGATCCCTTTCCGGTGACTTCGAGAATCTGGTATGGTCCTTCCCAGTTCGGGCCCAATTTCCCTTCATTCGAATTTCGGGTGTTGAGGGTGACTTTCCTTAGCACCAAGTTCCCGACGTTAAAATGTCACAGATTGGCTCTTCGATTGTAATATCTCTCGATCCGCTATTTTTGGGCGGCCAATCGGATGAGGTTGGTTTGCGCTTTTCATCCAACAGTTCTAGGCTCGTATTCATGGCCTCATTATTTTATTCTTCCATTGCATATTGGAACCTGATGCTAGGTTCTCTGACCTCGACCGGTATTAGGGCCTCGGCACCATAAACTAATGAGAGTGGGGTGGCCCTGGTACTAGACTTCGATGTTGTGCGGTATGCCCACAAAACCTCGGGTAGGATTTCCCTCCATTTTCGTTTGGCATCAGTCAGTCTCTTCTTAAGATTTTGGATGATGGTTTTGTTGGTTGATTCGGCTTGTCCGTTACCGTTGGGATGATAAGGTGTTGATAGGATCCTTTTGATCTTGTGATCCTCGAGAAATTTAGTCATCTTGCTGCCGATGAACTGCTTTCCATTATCGCACACAATCTCGGAGGGCATCCCGAATTGAAATATGATGTGGTCCCAAATAAAGTTTATGAATTCTTTTTCCCTGACTTTCTCGAAATTCTGTGCTTCAACCCACTTAGAGAAATAATCAGTCATAAATAAAATAAACTGAGCCTTACTTGGGGCCGATGGAAGAGGGCCAACGATGTCCATTCCCCACTTCATGAACGGTCATGGGGACAGGACCGAGTGGAGTGATTCTCCGGGTTAATGAATCATTGATGCATGCCTTTCGCACTCTTCGCATTTTCGAACAAACTCCTTTGCATCTTTATCCATGTCGATCCAGTAGTATCCGGCTCTGATCACTTTGTGGACCAATGATTCGGCACCAAAATGGTTCCCGCAAGTGCCCTCGTGGACCTCCCTTAGGACGTATTCGGTATCTCCCGGTCCCAGACATATCGCTAATGGACCATCGAACATCCTTTTGAACAACGTTCCATCTTCGTATAGGGTGAATCGTGCTGCCTTTGTGCGCAAAGCTCTCGACTCTTTTGGGTCTAATAAGAGTTTCCCATTCTTTAAATACTCTACGTATTTGTTTCTCCAATCCCGGGTCAAACTAGTAGAGTTTATCTCGGCATGACCTTCTTCGACCACCAATCTCATGAGTTATATGACAGCCCCAGAATTGAGTTCGTTGTCTTCGACCGATGACCCTAGATTTGCAAGTGCATCAACCTCACTATTCTGATCTCTAGGTACATGTTGCAAAGTCCATTCCTTGAATCGTTGTAGAGTTACCTGTAGCTTATCCAAGTATCTCTGCATTTGATCTTCTCGGACTTCAAAGGTCTCGTTAACCTGGTTCACAACGAGGAGGGATTCACATTTGGCTTCGATCACCTTGGCTCCCAGGCCTTTGGCTAGTTTGAGCCTTGTAATCATGGCCTCATATTCGGCCTCATTGTTAGTCAATTTCGTAGTTCTGATAGATTGTCTAACTACATTATCTGTGGGTGGTTTTAGCACGATGCCAATCCCAGAACCCTTTACGTTTGAAGCATCGTCCGTAAAGAGGGGCCAGATTCCCGAGGATGTACCCGATTTTATTAATAGTTCTCTTTCAACCTCGGGTACGAGGGCCAGTGTGAAGTCAGCCATGAAGTCTGTCAAGATTTGAGACTTGATGGCTGTTCGGGGTCGATATTCAATATTGTACCCGCTAATTTCTACGGCCCATTTGGCCAACTGACCCGAAAGCTCAGGCTTGTGCAAAATATTTCGAAATGGATAAGTTGTTACAACACATATGGGATGGCATTGAAAATAAGGTTTTAGTTTCCTAGAGGCGCTTATTAAAGAGGGCGCCAATGTTTCTAGATGTGGATACCTGGTTTCGGCCTCACCTTAGGTAGGACTAACATAATAGATAGGGAATTGCGTATCTCATTCTTCTCGGACCAAGACTTCACTTACCACTATCTCCGATGCTGATAAATACAATTAAAGCCGCTCGTCCGCTTTTGGCGTGTGAAGTAGCGGCGGGCTTGATAAGTACTATTTTAGCTCTTCCAGGGAATGTTGGCATTCTGGAGTCCACGTAAAATTATTCTTCTTCTTCAGTAATGAGAAGAATTGGTGATTCTTATATGAGGATCTCGAGATGAATCGCCCCAGGGCAGCTATGCGTCCCGTTAGCCTCTATACGACCTTTATGTTGTTTACTACCGTGATGTCCTCGATAGCTTTGATTTTATCGGGGTTGATCTCGATTCCTCGATTGGATACCATGAAGCCGAGAAACTTGCCTGAGCCGACCCCGAATGCACATTTTTCTGGGTTGAGCTTCATGTTATACCTTTTAAGTATACTGAAAGTTTCCTGCAAATGCTTCAAATGGTCCTCTGCTAGCAGGGACTTAACTAACATGTCATCAATATAAACCTCCATTAATTTTCCTATTTGTTCTTCGAACATCCGGTTTACTAGGCGTTGATAAGTTACACCAGCATTTTTTAGTCCGAATGGAATTACATTATAACAGTAAGTGTCGTACTTAGTGATAAACGAGGTCTTTCTCTGATATTCTGGGTTCATCTGTATTTGGTTGTACCCAGAATAGGCATCGAGAAAACTGAGAATCTTATGGCCGGCCGTGGCATCGATCATACGATCAATATTAGGCAAAGGAAAAGAATCCTTGAGACATGCTTTATTCAGGTCTTTATAATCTATACACATTCTAAGTTTTATTTCCCTTCTTAGGGACTACCACCACGTTTGCTAACCATTCGGGATACTTTACTTCCCGAATGGATCCTATTTGAAGAAGTTTGGTTACCTCGTCTTTGACGAAGGCATGCTTGACTTCGGACTGGGGTCTTCTTTTTTACTTCACCGGATGAAATTTTGGATCCAAGCTCAGTTTGTGAGTGGTGATTTCTAGTGGGATCCCGGTTATATCGATATGGGACCAAGCAAAGCAATTTATGTTAGTTTTAAGGAATTGAATAAGTTTTCCCCTGAGCTCGGGAGCTAGCCCCGTGCCCAGGTATACCTTTCGTTAGGGCTGATGTTCGGTTAGTGTGACTTGTTCTAGCTCTTCGACCGTCGATTTGGTGGCGTCAAAATCATCGGGGACTATGAAGGACCGAGGGATCCCATAGTCATCATCCTCATCAATCCCCTATTTCTCTGATTGGGTCAAGGCCGGTGTTTGTGGTTGCTATTTGTCCTTCTGTTTTTCCTTTGAATCCGATCCTTTTGTTGATGAGAGCTTCGATATTGGTATCACTTCGTCGACTACAAACATTTCCTTGGAGGCGGGTTGCTCCCCTTAGACTGTTTTGACTCCCTCTGGTATCGGGAACTTTAGAACTTGGTGAAGGGTCGAGGGTACTGCCCTCATGTTATGGATCCATGGCCTTCCAAATAATGCGTTATACCTCATGTCACCCTCGATCACATGGAACTTCATTTATTGGATGGTCCCCGCCACGTTCACTAGCAAAGTTATTTTGCCTTTGGTGGTCTCGCATGCCATGTTGAAGTCGTTAAGTACTCAGGTCGCGAGCACAACTTGATCCTGTAGGCCGAGTTTTTCTATGACCCTCGATCGAATGATGTTGGTCGAGCTACCTGGATCAATCAAAACACGTTTAACTTGAGTTTTATTCATAATAACAGATATTACCAAAGCGTTGTTATGGGGTTGTAAGATCCCATTTGCATCCTCGTCATTGAAAGACATGGTACCTTCTAGTACATAATCCCGAGTCCATTTTTCCCTTGTGATCGACACCTTGGTGAGATTAAATACGGGTCTTTGAGGAATATCGACCCCTCCAACAATCATGTAGATCACGTGTTGTGGCTCATCTTGCTCGTTCTGTTTGTTAGAATCTCTGTTTCTGAAGTGGTTCTTAGCTCGATCGCTTAAGAATTCCCGAAGGTGTCCCTCGTTGAACAACCGGGCTACTTTCTCCCTTAGTTGTCTACAATCTTCTGTTTTATGGCCATGTGTTCCATGGTATTTGCACATTTGATTAAGATTTCTCTGGACCGGATCGGTCTGCAGAGGTCGAGGCCACCTATTGTCTTTGATGCGCCCGATAGATGATACGATAGCTGACGCATCAACGTTGAAGTTATACTCTAACAGCCGTGGTGCCTCATTGGGCTCGACATTCCTGTCGAAACCACTCTTGCTCATGAGCCCTCGAGAGCTCTGACCTCGATCATTTCTCCTATCACTTAGAACGGGGTTGCGTCCATGCCCGTTGTTCTCCGATCTCCATTGTATGGCTAGTAACGATCTCTGTTTGACCGTGGTTCCCGGTCAATATCCCTTTTGACTCTCTCGACGGGCCTGACAGGATAAACGGACCCGGAAGGAGCTCCCAACTGGTCATCTTCGACTTTAATCTTCGACTGATACCGATTATGCACATCGGCCCAGGTGACAGCTGGGTATTTGATCAAGTTCTGCTTTAGTTGTTGTGAGTTCACCGAGCTTCGTACGTTTAATCCTTGAGTGAAGGCCTGAACGGCCCAATCATCGGCAACTGGAGGTAGATACATGCATTCCATCTGGAACCGAGACACAAACTCCCTAAGAATCTCGTTATCTTCCTGCTTTACCTTGAAGAGTTTCGACTTCCTAATCTCGACCTTTATGGCTCTGACGTATGCTTTAACGAAGGAATCTGCGAGCATGGTAAAAGAATCAATGGCGTTGGGTGGAAAATTATAGTACCATATCATCGCTCCCTTTGATAGGGTCTCCCCGAATTTCTTCAACAATACGGACTCGATCTCATCGTCCTCCAGATCGTTCCCCTTAATTGCACATGTGTAATAAGTGACGTGCTCGTTGGAGTTTGTTGTTCCATTATACTTGGGAATTTCTGGCATGCGGAACTTCTTGGGAATTATTTTAGGGCCGCGCTCGGGGGGAGGGCTTTTGTACAAACTTCTTTGAATCCAAGCCCTTCAAAATCGGTGGTGCCACCGGAATTTGATCAACCCTGGAGTTATAGGTTTCCACCTTCTTGTCATTTGCTTCAATCTTCTTCTCCCTGATTCAATTCGCTTTGTCAGCTCCTCGAGCATCTTCATGATAGCCGGTCGATCCCTGATTCATTCCCGTTTGATCTTATCGACACTGGTTCGGCCCTATAAACAACTTCATGCGATGGCTCGGACTCGACCCTGCTCGGTGCATGGTTCTTGATTTTGGAGTTGTGCTATTGCAGCTTGTTGAGCCTGCAACATTTAGAATATTATTCGAAGGCCAATTCCGCCTTCTTCGCCGCCTTGTGCGTTCTGACCGGCTGATCGAACATCTCTGCGAACGCTATTCTCAGGGTCGATGGCCAGATTTGCATTAATGGCAACATGGGAACTGACGTCGATTGGGTCTGCGACTGGAACTCCATCGAGGTCAACTGGAGGCATTTCGTTCCCTGGGGCGGCTATGTTGTCGTTTTCGCCGTGAAAACCAAGGCCATTGTCGATGTATGTGGGTGTTGCTTGAGAGTTCGACATGTTGATCCTGGAATCAAAAACACTCACAAGAATAATTATAAAATAGTGTGTGTTACGAAAATTAGTACCAGGCAATCACTATTATTCTTAGCCCCAGAGTGGGCGCTAAACTGTTTACCCTAAAAACGAATACCAATTGAATTTATATGTGGTTTTAAGGATACGTGATTTCACTTAGCATAAACTGAGAAAATATATGAATTGATATTAGAAATTGACTGTAAAGAAAAATAAAGCAAACCAAAGGAGATGTGCAGCTTTGGCCCTCGAGCTAGGTCGCCCTCGAACCAAACGAATGATCAAAAGTGAGATATAAACAAAATGACAGAGTATTGAGAGCTTAAAGAATAGTATATTGCTTTGAACAGTGTGAGTCTAATGCCTTTACAAACGATTAAACCCCCTTTTATATAGTAGAAGAGTTCTACTCATGGTACAATTTTAAATACAGTAAGAAATCCCATGATTGGCTAATTAACCGGCCTCGTCTTGATACGTGCCGAAATTTCCACCGTGATCCTCGCCCGATCACGGATGTTTCAGTTTTACCGTTACTTGATTAGGTAAACCCCTTTCGATCTCACTCGATTTCCGTTCCGTCCGGTCTCGATCTTGGCTGATCTTCGTCCTTGACCGGTCCCCGAATTAAGGGTTCAACAATCTAACTTCATACTGATGTTCGATATAATACGAGGCCGAACCGTGGCCTATCATGATCCAACCTCGATTAGTCATAAGAAGGGAAGGCCGTTCTTAACTTATACATTAATCTATCTTTTGTTTACATTCTATATTTTGTTTACATTCTATATTTTGTTTACCTTATCAATTTTGCTATAGGACAATGGTGAGTGTAATTTATTGGGACGATAATTAAAATGAACCGTTGGGTCGTGGATAATGAGTTTAGTAAATAGGTAAATGATGAGTTGGATTCTTTTAAATAATTTGTGTATATATATTTGTATTGAAAATTATTCTTATCTAAGAAAATGAGGGTTTGTACTTTCTGTCCTCTAAAGGAACAAGTGTTCTATTTTCTCTGTATACAAACGAAAACAAACATGTTCTAATTATTGTTAATCACTTTTGAACCCCTATATCAGAATTCAACTTCTATTTAATCTTGATCAATAGACTACATACGTGTTTCCTTGCACAACAAACGAACTTTTTCTTTTATATTTGGTTCTAACTTATATTCAGAAAAATTTCGTTGGTGATGCTCGGGGCTCGCTATATTCCTTTGAGATTGCTTTTCAGAGTTCTTCCTGTGATAGGTAACTTGAGAAATTAGAAGATGAATGTTAGAAGGAAAAAAACTGTTATTGGCTTGGAATTCTTGAAAACCATCAACCCAAAAACAAAAAAAAAGAACTAATTAAAAAAATACGATTAAGATCAATCAATCTCAAATAATCCCAACAGGAAACGCAAAAAGATAAGTATAAAAAAATCTATCTAGTGGTAATATAATATAGCCTTTTATTGAATAGTGTGACCAGCTTCTGGATTGTGTGACAATTTTAGATAAAACATATTTTTGTTATTTAATTATATCTTAAACATGCTTATTTAGATAATTATATTAGCATTTTTCACGTAAAGCTCTCTGATTTTAGATATACATTATCTTGCTTAGCACATTATATACGGATGAAATCGAGCTCATGGTGCATCCTAACCTCCGACAAAATAAGTCAGCCTCGAGACATGGCAACAATGGACCGAAATCGAGTCAAAGTCCCACCGGGCCAGAACCCGGGGGCATGAAGCCTACCTTCGAGAATATCGAGGCCATGGTTCCGGAATCGGTCCTAGCCTCGAACGACTTCGAAGAACATCGCCAGACAATCCAGCATAGCCAATAGAAGACCGAAATATCCGTGATCGGCCGAATATTACAGCAGGGATCTCGGTACGTATCGATAAGGAACCGACAATTAGTGAATCAGAAGATCTTTACCTTTTATAGAGTTGTACCTAAAATAGAACTCCCCTACTATATAAAGGAGGTCTGATAATTCATGAAACACATTGTAACACGCACTCAAAAGCAATTATATTATTATTTTCTTTGTCTCCAACTCTTGTTCTTTTTCATCTATACTGGTCTTGGTGAGCTCGGTTCGAGAGTGACTATTTCATTAAGGCTGAAACTATCCAACTCGTGTGATTTGAATTTATTTTGTCTTTGTTTATTCAATAGCAATTCAATTTATCGCTTTGTATCAAATTAATCCGCGTATCCTTAAAATCACTTATAAATTTAATTGTTATCCGATTTTGAGGGTAAATAGTTTGGCTTCCACCGCGGGGCTAAGGATAATAGCGGCAATTTGATACAAATTTCCGTAACACATCCTATTTTACACTTGTTCTTTTAAGTGTCTTTGATTCCGGGTTAAAATCGAAATGTGAAACCCCCAGTCTGCTCCTCTAAACATGGATGCTGAGTCCGGCCACCATGGCGAGAACAGCAATGTAGCACCCGGTAACGAGGTGCCCCCAGTCGATCTTGGCGGAGTTCCGGTCGCGGACCCTATCGACGCCAGTTCGCATGTAGCCATCAACACAAATTTGCCTACTGATCCCGAGAACAGCGTGTGCAGGGAAGTCCGATCAATTGCCCAGAATACGTACAGCGGTGAAAACAATGGGATCAATTTGCGGGTGATTTTCGAAATATTACAGGCTCTGATATCAACTTGTCACGAACTCAAATTCCAAACCTGTCATGATGACGCCTATCGTGGTACTAGGCAAGCCGATATTACGGAATAATCCCAACACTTTTAACAGAAAAATGAATTAAAGCGGTTTTAATAGTAAAAGTTCTCATAAACGGGATAGAAAACCCAAAACATAACGCTCACTGCCCAACTATCGGGGTGTCACAGAGTACATGAGCATCTATATATCACAAGTCTGGAAAAAATACGGTCTATAATAGTCTGAGACTAAATGCAATAAGCAAGAAGATAGAGAAGGAGAGACAAGATCTGCGAAACACCGGCAGCTACCTCGGAATCTCTGAAAAATCAACTGCGCGGAGAAAAATCAACACCCATTATGTCCGGGAACACCTGATTCTGCACACAAAGTGCAGGGTATAGTATGAGTACAACCAACTCAGTAAGTAAAAATACTAAATAAAGAACTGAAAGTAGTGACGAGCTTCACAACTAAGTCCAAATATAGTAATTTCCAACATAATAAGGTAGGCATGCTTTCAAGTTCGACAATTAAGGTCAAAACAGTAATTTCATGTCAAATTCAACTGAAACAGGAGATAATATCTCTCAAAAATTTCCAAAACAGTGATATATAACAACTGAAGTACAACAATAATGAAATCAATGCATCCTCTCAGAGCAACAATCACTCAGTCCTCCCATTTACTCCAACCTCACAATCACTCTACACTCGACACTCGGCACTTTGCACTCGCACTCAGTAGGTACCTGCGCTCACTGGGGGTGTGTACAGACTTCGGAGGGGATCCTTCAGCCCAAGCGCTATAATCCGCACGGACAACTCACGTGCTACACGGACAACTCACGTGCTAGTATAATATCTGGATCGACACGGACAACTCACGTACTAGTATAATATCTGGATCCGCACGGACAACTCATGTACTAGTATAATATCTGGATCTGCACGGACAACTCACGTGTTATAGTATCAATATCTCACAATCAAGCCCTCGGCCTTACTCAGTCACAAATCTCTCCCGACTCTCGAGCTCTCAGAAATCATGAAAATCAGCCCCAACAGAAATAATATAATGCATTAATAATGAACAATAGAGATTGAGATATAATATGCAAGTAAAACTATGACTAAGTTTAGCAGAAAATTCAGCATGTACACAACTTCTGTGGGTCCCTACAGTGTCAACACGTGGTTTAAACATGATTTATAGTTCGATTTCTCTAATACGTGGAAAGATGTACGGATAACAACAAATTATTCAACTACATAGATCCATGGAATTGACCTAGTCACAATTCCTACGGTGCACGCCCACACGCTCGTCACCTAGCATGTGTGTCACCTCAAATCCAATTACATAGTACATAATCTGGGGTTTCATACCCTCAGAACAAATTTAGAATTGTTACTTACCTCAAACCGTGTAATTCTTTATTCTGCTATACCTTTTCCTCGCGAATCGGTCTCCAGACGCCTCGAATCTAGTCACAAATAATTCA